CTTAACAAACAATTAAGCTTTGTCTTTAGGTGAGGTGACAAAGTCTGAACCATAGAAGAGAGTTGGAAAAACAGATTTGCCCTTATTATTGATACTGTTTAAGATTCTCCAGATTTCACGAGAGCCAAATTTTTGTGATGAAGTTTGAGATTTTATGACCTAAGAATAGCGAGCTTTGGTGTTAGACATAAACTTTTTACAATGGTTTCTAGCAATAGTAAACAGACATCTGTTTTCTGGAGAATTGTTTTGCTTATTGATATTGAAGTAATGGCTTCAATTGAAAATTGCAGAAACACAATGTGAAGAGAGAAGTGGAGAATGAGTGACCATGGAGAAGAGTGAGGTTTGACCTGGAATCATTGAGAGGGAATAAAAGATTCCATGCCAGCCTAAATCCAGAAAGGTATCTAAGAAGCACATTTTGAAGACAGAAGACTTCAAAGGCTATCACAAAGAAAATCATGGAAAGAGTCCCAGTCAGCTTTAAGGTAGTTGTAAGAGGTATGATGATTCTGATGATGAAGAAGAGTGAGATAATAATTTTAGAGAGATCAAACTGTGATCAGAAGCACCTAAGGGTGAATGTGGAGAAACTGAGTACTGAATAGGATCAGAAACAAGACAAAAGTCGAGTAGAGAAGGTATATGATTCGGGTTGTTTGGAAAGCGAGTTAGAAAGTTGACTATTAAGGTCACCAACAACAAGGATATTGGCTGATAGATAAAGAGAGAGGGCTTGGTCAGAAATAACATCAAAAAGAGTGCAGTATTGAGATGAAGGAGAGTGATATAGAATAAAGAGCAAGATGATAGAGTGAAGTGATGCTAAACAAAAGCACATAAAAGAATAGTTTATGGATTCAAACCTAGTTTCGTGACAAATGGGTGAATTCTTAAAATAAATATAAATAATTATGAGTAAATGCCCATGCCAAGCAAGTGACTATTGAAGTCTTTACGAATTAAAGGAAGATAATCATCAACACAGCTGAACTTAAATTAGTCTCACAAAGAGCTAGATAAAACAGCTGAACTTAAATTAGTCTCACAAAGAGCTAGTAGGTCTGGTGAACTTTGCAAGAGATAAGACTCGACAGAAGAAAAGTTACTTTGATGATTACAAATATTAGTGAATGATAGGTTTAGCGAACTTGGTGATGACTATGTTTTTTGTGTTTTATAGTTTTTGTTACTTTATTCATTTTTAAATTTGTAAAAGAATTTGACTCGAAACAGATAGTACTCAGTACACTGTTTTATAGCACAAGCAATTGCCTCATTTCCACTAATAAACCCTAAGCCGTAACAAAGAACCTCAGAACCATAAAACTGAGTTTAGAGAACTAATAAAAATAAATCAAAAAAACTTCTTAATATGCAAAAACATTCAATCAGAATTATATCCAATGAAAGCTGCTCTACACCCTGACAACCTTTATTTACTAAGTTAAATATACTGAATATCTACCAAATAAATATTTATCATCTTTAAATTTTTATGTTCAAAGTGAAGTTTTTTATATTTTATAGTTTTTGGTACTTCATTTATTTGATATTTTTTAAAGAACTTGACTCAAAGCATTGATAGTACTCAGTACACTATTTAACAGCCCAAGCAATTGCCTCATTACTATTAATAAAACCTAAGCCGTAACAAAGGGCTCCAAATGTGGCTTCAATAATGCACACTAAAAGTACGAACAGGGACACCATCCATGCGTAACATGGCACTGTTAGTACTCTGATATTTTTTAGCTGTTGATGGAATCAGCCACTCTGAGAGCTACCACAGAGTTCAGGAAACCTGACTACCAGCCGGTCTCAGAAACATAAAACTGAGTTTTAGAGCTGTACCCTCATTAGGAGATAATAGAATAAGTTGCCTAGTTATAAAAATAGAGATATAAGCAAAACCCATACATTGAATCAAGTAGATCCAGCGTTCAAACATCCTTAACTGGAAACAATATATTAAAAATACATCTGCTCCAGCCTAATAGATGAAGAAAGGGTGAGAAGCTGGTTAACAAATAGAATTTGTTTACCCCTTAAGTATTTGCCTAGGAGGCTTTCGCCAAGAAAGTAGCTGGATGCATTTAACATCTGCCCAAGATGAGTATTTTTACTGAGACACTATCTCTAGCCTTTACTCAACCAAGAGCCCCAAGACAAGGGGTGTTTTAAGTTGGAGTTGACTTCTCCTAGCCTTTGCCTAAAAAAACAAATCCTATAAGGCAGCAGGGCATAAAGCATGTATTACTGGGTTACATGTTACCAGTAGCAGGATAACCTGTCCTGACAGAAACTTATTTATTTTATTTATTAAAAGTTTATTAGTGTATTATTTTGTTATTAAAATTATATCACTGTATATAGCATTTATTAAAAGATAATTAATTAAAAAATAGATTTAACTAGTGTTATAAATAAAAAAATTAAACTTCTAACAAATTTTTGATGCAGCTGTTTATTAAAAATTTAATTTTGAGTAAAAAAATGTTGAGGAAGGAAAACCGAAAAAACAATTGCAATAAAAATAAACTAGTTTTTTTTAAGAACAAATAAAATTTGAATATTGAACAATATTTAGTAATATTTTTAAATAAATTTGACAGTTAAACCCAAGCATTAACTTTTTTTAAATCAAAATTAAAGTATATATTTTTTAAATCTAAATTAAATTATATTTTTTTTTTTATCAGAATAAAATTATATTTTTACTAAATTAGTTTTAAATTAAATGATATATTTTTTATCAGAATTAAATTTATTATTTTTTTATGATCTTTGCTTCAAGCCTAAAAAATCAATTATTACAATAAAGTAAAAACAAAATAAAAATAAACTTATAATTTTATTTGAGTTTTTTTTTTTAGGAAATAGCGCTTATATCAAACATAATAATCATTCAAAGTTTTGCAACAAATTTTTACATAAACGTTATATAAATGTTAATGTGACTTATTTAAAAATTAAATACTTTTTTTATCTTACCGCTTATAGAATAGTTAAAAAATGATAAAAATCGCTTAATCGAAATCACTTACTACTTAGATAAAATTGCTTAAGGCGTATGTAAATTGTTCTACACGTAAGGCTCTAAAACAAGGCCTGTAATAACATTAATTAATAGTTACTAATAATTAGTAATAAGAATTAGTAATAGTTATTAATAAAACTTCGCACAATGTTATTAATCAATCTCTGATATCTGTTGAAAAGATTTTACTACCACCCCTTCACATTAAACTTGGTCTTATCAAACAATTTGTCAAAGCATTAAACCCAGATAGTGCAGCATTCCAGCATATTCGGCAGATGTTTCCAAAGGTGTCAGATGCAAAAATTTCAGCAGGTATATTCGTTGGTCCACAGATTAAAGTTATGTTGGCATGTAAGGAGCTTGAGAACAAAATGTCTGCTGTTGAAAAAGAAGCATGGACTGCATTTAGACATGTTGTTCATAGCTTTTTAGGCAACAATAAGAGTGATAACTACAAAGAGATAGTGGAAAACTTAATTGTACGGTACGCAGATATGAAATGCAGAATGTCAATAAAGCTGCATTACCTGCATTCACACTTGGAATTTTTCAGACCAAATTTGGGTGATGTGAGTGAAGAGCACGGGGAACGTTTCCATCAGGATATTCTTGCAATGGAGAAAAGATACCAGGGCAGATGGGATGCAGCTATGATGGGTGACTACATCTGGTGTTTGATACGCGATGACGAGAAACTTCATAAAAGAAAACCTCGTTCTACTGTTCACTTTTAGTGTTTTTTGAGATTGTGAGAGACTGTTACAATACAATATAATGTAACATTATGTAATATATGTAAGAAACATGATGTAACATGAAGTTTTGTAACATAACATAACACTTTTGAATTAGTAAATGTTTTATATTGACTAAAGTAGAATCTAATGCAAAACGATTTATATTAATTATATGTTTAATTGATTTTTTGGTTTTACGACCAAACGATTGATGCAATAAAAAATCCAATGTCATATTCAGACTCAGCATACTCAAATTAATTAAGAAACATCAAAAAATTTTGATAAACAGAAAATTTTTTTTTTTTGTTACATTGTGTTATTAAACTACTTTTGATTTTGTTATTGAATTTTTTTTGCATTTCTGCGAATAATTGTTATTAATCACAGATAATGATATGGTTAATTGTGATTAAAAAATTTATTATGTTGCTTAGCACTAATTTTAGCATAAATTTTAAGTTTAATTGTTCAGTAAGAATGCTGTCATGTCATTTAAAAAGATTCTTTTATGAGATTATCCTGGCATTTAAAAAGGTTTCTAGAAAAAAAAAGCTGTTTTAAATTTTAACCTGCCCCAGTGAAAATATAATAAATTTTCAAAATTTAGAATCAGATTTTATAAATTAACCAAGAAAATAGAAACAGCAAGTCAAAGCAACTAATAAAACAATTTGATAATTAATTGTTTGAAACTTTTTCAGTTACTTTCAAGTTACCATCCTTTCAGTTTACCATCATCATTCTTCTTTCAAGTTACCATCTTTTTTTTTACTTTCTGCTTTATAAGTAATAAGTGCAACCAGTTTTTTTTCTGTTTTAAAAAAAAATAACTCTCCAATTCTTCGTAATAACTTTATCTAAACTATTCAGAACAACATTATAAAAAAATAATAATTAAGCTGCATCAGCATTTTTCTAATTAAATTCGTAATTTTTTTTTAAGTTTTTTTATTGGATTACTAGCCCCAAATATGCAAATGTACATATTTTCAGTATTCTATTACAGACAGAATAGAATTAAAACTATTTATTTAAATGGTGGATTTTTGCTGGTTCAAAGTTAAGTTAAAATAGTTTGCAACTGAAATTGAGTAATGAAATTTTAGGGAATTTAAAATGTCAATTTAAAAGTCTTTAAATTGTATAAAAACTGCAAAAATTAGTTAATTCAATTTTTTTCAAAAAAAATGTTTTTATTGTTTTTACATATTTAGGGTCAAATTGAGCTTCTTAAAAGTGGTACTAAACTTCTATACAAATACAAAGACAGTCAAGCTGCAAGGTTTGTCAATTATTATAGTTAAAAATGTATTACTTTTATATAAGGAAAATAACAGGATTTGAAACAATTTGATTTTGTGACTAATCTCACTATTGCACCTATTGTCAGCGAGGAACCCAAAGTTTATTTGGGGTACCACGTTTTTTCCCGTAATGTTAGGAAGGGGGGTGGGGTGTTTTTATTGGGTCCCCCCCTCCTCTTTCTCCTCTTCCTCCCCTAGTTAAAGCTAGTGCTGTGACAATGATTTTTAATCATCATTTTTTCAATCATTATTTTGATCATTTGTGTTTATCTTGTTTATTTTTATCCTAAGATAAGGAGTTAATTTAAAGATATTTTTTGAATATATGAATTTACTGGTGGACAATGTTACTTTAGTTACGATAAGAAAACTATTTTACTTAAGACTTTAATAAACACTTTTGTTGCAAATGCCATGCTTTTAATAAGTATTTTAAACATTTATTAACTATATTTTAGTAAATTTAATTTAGTAGTTTTTAATGTTTAAATAATTAGTAATTAAATTTTTGAATACTTTAAATAATTTTTAGTTAATACTTGCATTGTATAATATATTTACATATATTATCGTGTAATATTTGTAAAATTAACAAAATAGTTTTATTTCTTGTATTCGAATAATTATTTGAACAAAAAATATAAGCATTTAATAAATAAATTGACAATTATTTTAATTTTAAAATTTTGATTTAAATAATTGCAAGTCTGTTCATATAACTTTTACTAAAGATTAATAATTTTTAAAGTGAATTTAAGGTGCCTTTTAAATTAAAGGTAATTAAAGATATAATTATGATAAACATGATTTTAAAAATGTTATATTTTTTTGATTAAAAAACACACATTTTGAAAAACACATATTTTAAAAAATATATATTTTTTAATTATTAAGTATAATTTAAAAAATTGCATTTAATAAACAAGTTATATTAACTATGGGTTATTCTAAACAGATATTAATAAAACTTTTATCAAGGTATTGTAATCGTTATTTTTATTATTTCAGAAGTCAAAAAGAATATGAAAAAAAAAAAAAACTTTCTGAAAAAGTTTCCATTTCCTCATGTAAACTAAAATAGCAAGCTAAAACTCAAAAGTTCATTCATTTAAAAATTAAATTTGCGCAATACTTATTGAGACCAAAATTTTTTACTTTCATTCATTCATTATCAAAAGCAGTTTACTCTTGATTGCCAAAAAACAAAAGTTAACTTTATTCTGAATGGATATTTTAAAATCGTTCGATCTTTTAAAAAAGTAAATTTTTTATACATTCCATAAAATCTTTACGAAACAAAACAAGTTTTTAAAATTAAGTTTCGTAAAGACATTCATTTTTTTAAAACTACTGTCAGTTAGTAACTGAAGAACAGTTATGCCGCGTAATTACATAATAAAGCTATTTCTTTTTAATTTATTTTATTGACCGAAAGAAAAAATGAGGTAGCTAAAATAAAATGAAAATTATTTACATACTTCTGCTCAAAAAAACTGAAATTTTTTTGTCTAAAAAAATTAAAAATAATTTTCGGGTGCATTTTTTTGGGCGCCCATACCACTCCAGCGGTACTAAAACAGGTCTGGGTTTGTCCCTGATATAAACAACAAAATTTGTATACAATTATTAAATAAAATTTGCAATAAAATCAAAAATTATAAATTTAATTTCAGCGATATAGCGAGGAATTATTGAAAGTCAAACAATCAAAGGTCTAGCTATAGTAACTACTACTACAGTAACAGATTTAGAAGTGAGGAAGAAAGTTTAATTTTATTTGTTAACATTTTAAATAATTGAAAATTTTTTTAAAGGTGTCATTATTTTTGTTTCTTGAAAATGGTTTTAAAAGTAGAAACATTAATTGGAAGAAAATTGATTTAGCATAAAAGAAAAACAACATTCCAATACCACGTTAGATACAACCAGTAAATAGCGCCAATATGGCTATAACAAACTAAATAACAATTATATGGCAACTATTTGAACAATCTCTTTGTTATTGAACGAAATTTTAGTATAAATAGAGTTTTGTTGTTGTTTTTCAGATACAAAAATATAAAGAATATAAGTGATATAGTTAATGTAAAAACGATTAAGATCTTAAAAATATATAAGTTATAATATATGTTCGGTATTATTTGTGATCGCCATCGGATCATAATTGGTAGCAGAGGGTAGTTTCTTTAACATGGAAGAAAGGTAAAAAGAAAAAATCAAATAACCAAATGGAAGATTAGTTAACCGTTCAAAATAAAGTATCTGCATTGAACATGAAGAAAATAGTTCTAAAGTCTTCGTTTACGCAAACTAAACATCAAATTATTCATCAACTTGGAGACAATGAACCCACTTGTAAAAATAAGTTATGCGAATTGAGTAATCAATTAACAAAGACTCAAAACAAAGCTCTCAAGACAATGGTTAAATTATCAAAGAAATACGAACTTCTTGAATCAAAAGAAAATGTAGGAAAACTCAAAGAAATTGAAAAACTAAATGACGAATTTGAGGAAGTTATGGAACATGTAAATGAATGGATATTGGGCAATGGAAGTATAAAATCAAGTTTAAAACATCAAAGGATGGAAAAAGAACTTAAAATGGAAACAAAAAAGCAATGTTGTCAATGGTTAAGTACTCAAAAAAGTAATGACCAGTATGAAGATAATAAAGAAGAAAATGGCGGTAGCGAAATTGAACCAATCAAATCAACAAATATCATGCGTAAAATGGAAAATAAAATAATTGATTTGGATCAAAAGACTGAAAAATTGGACATGATTTATGGAAACAACTAAAATGCGTCTCTATAGAAATGTTTAATGGCGATAAAAAGAACTATGAAAATTGGAAAGCTTCATTCTACGCATGTATTGATCAAGCCCCAGCGACACCTGAGTATAGATTACTTCAGTTATGTCAATATTTATGTGGAGATGCATAAAAAACAATTGAAGGACTTGGACATTCGTCATTCGCTTATGAAGCTGCAAAAAAAAAGGTTTGAAAGAAAACATTGTGGAACAAGGAGAAAAGTCCTTATGTATTTGGATGAATTAAACAACTTTAAACCTATGAAGGAAAATAATCCCAAAGACGTTGAAAAGTTTGCGGATTTGTTTGATGTGGCAGTAACAAACTTAAAAGAAGCAAATTGAACAGAAGAACTTGTTAATGGGACTGCAAAATAAAGTTCCTTAAATAATGTTAATTAGATACAAATGATGGGTGTATGAAAACAAATTAAATGAAAATGTTGAAACTCTAAAAAAGTTTATTGTTGAAGAAGCAGATTTTCAAATTGCAGCAACAGAAACTCTACCTGGTTTAAAAAAAACTATTGGTAGCAAAGTACACAAAGGAAATTCTTACTTTGGTAACAGTGATCAAAAAAAGAAAGTAAATTGGATACAGAAATGTTCTGTTTGCAAAAACAATCATAAAATATGGGAGTGTTCAACATTTCAAAATCAAAATATTAAAGAAAGATGGGAAACAGCTAAGAAAAATAAACTCTGCTTCATATGTTTGAATTCTAACCATTCGTCAAAAGAATGCGAGAACAAAAGAATTTGCAGGATTGACGGCTGTACAGATACCCATAATTGTTTGCTTCACAAAAAAAGACATCAAAATAAAACAATTTCTGAAGACTTCAAAGAAAATGACACAATATTAGAAGATTCTCACACGTCGAACATCCAATTTCATTCAAATCACGTCATGAACTACATATCTCTTAGAGCGGTGCTTCGTAATGGAAATAAAAAAGTTGTGGTAAACGCATTGCTTGACAATGGAAGTACCAAGACATATTTAAACTCTGATGTAGCGGCTGAGTTGTCACTGCAAGGTAAAACCGAAAAGGTAACTGTAAACATGATAAATGGAAAAATTGATTCTTTCGAAACAATGGTGGAATGCTGGTGGAATTCCAGTTGGAATCATTGAATGGAGAAACAAAAATTGCAGTGGAAGCTTTTACAGTTAATAATGTAACTGGAAACTTAAAAGCAGTTAAATTAGGCAAATTTGTCAAAAAGTTGGAAACATCTAAGAAAAATCGAATTCTCAAATATTGGACCAAAACCAAAAATTGACATTCTAATTGGTGTGAATTACGCTAAGCTCACTGTGCAGTTAAGGAAGTAAAAGGAGGATTTAATGAACCAGTGGCTCGACTTGCGCCGCTTGGATGAACATGTGGTGGTGGTACTGGTGGATCCCTTCAAACCCATTTTACGAAAATAACATCTAATACAAACGAAATAGAAGATGCAAACAGCCATAAAAAATTATGGGAAATTGAAGGCGACGAAGAGATGCAATTCAGAAAAGAATCCAGAAGACTCTACCACCCTTAATATAGTAACTACTTCGCTAAGAACAGAGAACAGAAGATATGAGCTAAAATTACCACGGAAAGGTAATAGACATTTGGACAATAATTATACAATGCCTAATGAAAAATAAAAGTCTTGGAGAAGAGTACAGTAACATTATTAAGCAGTATCAAGAGAAGGGATACTTGGAGAAAATCAATAAAAGGAATCTTGGAGATAGTTAGTACTTACCACATTTTCCAATTCTTCGTCCTGATAAATGTGTTTGATGGATCTGCAAAATATAATAGTAAATTAATTAATCATGTCATTTATCAAGGTCCAAAACTTCAACAAGACCTTGTGACTGTTTTGTTGAGATTTCGAAAATACCCAGTGGCTTTAGCTTGTGATATAGCAGAAATGTATTTAAAAATTGGATTACATAAAGATGATCAAAGGTACCAACAAATTTTATGGAGAAACCTAGATCCAACTGCCGAACCTGAGGTGTTTCAGTTTAATCAACTGGTATTTGGAATCAACTCAGTGCCTTTTATTGCTCAATTTGTAACGCAAGAACACACAAGAAATTATGCACAAAAATTTCTTTTGGTTTCTGAAGCTGTTCTTGAAGCAACTTACATGGACGA